ATATATATATCTAATATATTTTTATAATATTTATAATATATTTTATTTTTGTAATATTTTATATATACATATAATAAAAATATGTCAATTATATTATAATTATATTTAAGCAAATTTATAGGTTTCTGTAAAGTAAATAGAATACCTAATAAAACTTTAATCGAATATATCTTGATTAGTGTTACAAATCGGGCCAAAAAATGCAATCGATTAGTTGGCCAAAAATTCGTTTAAAAATCGATTAAAAATCGATTATAGCCAACTAATCGATTAATCATTTAGTCAATTAATCAATTAATTAACTAGTCGATTAGTTAGTATTAATGATAAAAACATTTCTTAAGGTAGTCACTACTCATGGCATTACGGCTATGACATAAAGGTTGTACTACCCCGGAGTCAAGTTGCCGTTATGCCGTATATAGTAATAGGGTAGTATGCCGTAAGATAGTAATAGGGATGCATGACGTAATAGATGTCGTGTGCTATGACAGGTGCCATGTGCCATAATAGATGTCATATGCCATGATAGGTGCCGTGTGCCGTGTGCCATGATAGGTGTCCTGTGCCATGATTTACTTATGTTGTATATCATATGCCGTGACTTATATTGCATATCACGATTTATGTTGCTCAACTAATCTATCCCGCAAGTATACACATATATATTACATACCCAACCCAAAGAGTATTATAATTTTTTAAATTCATTATGTTACTAGGATAAATAATAATATAGTTGACTTTTATGTTAACTTCTTTATAGCGAAATATAATAATAATGACAGGAAAAGCTTCTGAATTTTAAAATCAAATGGTTTTTAATGAGTTAACATCTTTTAGAAATTATTATCTAAGGCTGGAACAAGTTTTCTAATTGTTTCTGGGCTGGTTAGCATAGAACTTTGTTAGTAGTATGTATCATACTATATCGATATAATAAATTTGTAATTTATTCACTTAAAAGTGTATTGCGCATATATTCAAATAATAAATTATTTAAATATAGTATTTAAACAAAATGCCACATGTTTTTTTTAATTTAATATCTCTTTTTATCCCTTGTATGTACATGTACATATGTTTTCTATCAAATGAAGTCTATTAATTCACCTTTAATGCTGAAATTGTTTAATGTAATTATCAATGTTATCCTTGTGTTATTTTTTGAAAATCTTGCAATTCATAGCATGCTGCAAAATGATTGTATTATACCAAATTTTTAAAAGAAGAATAGGAATAGGCTTATTGATTTTTTTTCAATTCGACTTATATTAGACATACCTTGCAAATTTAAGCTAAAGCTCTTTAATACAATCATTAATACTTTTATTTTTACTTGTCCACCTTTGTGTAATTCTTTGAGGATCACACGGCTGATGCTATTCATCTCTGTGATAAAACTCTAACACCTATAATCAATATGACTTTTTGTTGGTTTAATATGGATTATAATGGATATAGTTTTGTATACTCTACCTCACTGTTTGCAAATTATTAAAGTTCATCATAGGCATTAGAGGCAAAATCGAATAGTCTAGTAATACGATTTATAAATTAAATAAATGCGAATAAAATGAAAATACACATAAATAATGTTTATAAATTACCACGTACATTAAAATATCCCTATACTGAATATGTGTTGAATAATCTTTCCAAGTACTTTAAAAAATTTGCACTATTAGCGATGTTGGCAAAATTTGCTTGTAAACTATTAGCACCTAAAATTGAAAAGGCTGAATGTTAGTTACATAATGTTGATAGTCCAAGGATCTAATGACAAATGAGAACTATACATCCATCTGATATGCTTGTAAGGTTACTCTATATAAATCCGTGTTATTCTCTAGGATGAATAACGTATGTGCCTGTATTTATAAGCTTTATTAGCATCTGAATTTCACACTGATATCTCTAGACTTATCATTAAAAATTACAGTAAAAATTCGTAAAAATTAATACGTATTAAAAGTGTTTTACTGTATTAAAATTATAAATATATCGTAATAGTAAAATTAAATAATCTTACCTTATTTTTAATACAAAATTAGATTTTTAATAAATAATGATAAGTAATCAATTGCAAATTTAATAATTTTCTAGAAGTAGGATTTATTAAACCTCAAACGTTTATTTGATATTTATTATTAAATTGAGCATACAGTATAAACTATTTTGCCTGCTTTTCATGTTTTAAAAAATTATTTAATAAGTTACAAGGACTGTAATCCAAATCCAAATCCTCATGTGAGACAGCTTGAGCTGTTTCTACTACAGAAGATTCTAAACTTTTTTCTATTTCTAAGTCAATAATTTCCTCAATTAATAAAGTTAAAGAATTATTAGATGTCACATTATCCGACAAAACCTCATCATCAGCCCTTATTTGATCCTCATCATAGCTCATAATATTACCAATTGAAGATAGATTACATGCATATCAAAGATCTGACTCTGTTAATTCTTTATCAGAAAAGTTTAGCTCACAATGAATATTTGTCATATAATATGATCTAATTTTAGACATTCTCTCTAGTCTATTTATGTCCAGATTAGTTTGACAATCACTTAAAATCTATTTTAACAATGAGAAATTTCTTTCGCAATTAGCTTGTGTAAGATTAATTAAAAAAATTCTATAAACCAGCTCAGCTAAATGTCAAGGTTGATTTTTTAAAGACCCCTACCAAATTTTTGAAGTACCTATACCTGAAACATAAGGAAGATCAAATGGTGGCAATCGTGCTTCAAATCGTTGCATTTGGGCAATTAGTTTTTCACCCTCCAAGCGGATATGCCCAAGATTTTGCCAGAGCTCAAGAGACGTAAGAGCTACTTTATGAAACCCACTATCTTTTAAACCTTTTCCTAAAAATTTATAATTTTTTTTCAGATTATATATATATAAATCAAACCATTAATTATATAATATAATGATTAATTGCCTTTATTAATTGCATATTATGACCCGATATATATAAATTATATTATAAAAAAAGGTTTTAATTTAGTGATCTACAAAACCTGTTTGCTAATATATACTGTAATATATACATAAGGATGTTAACCCACTTGTATATTACAAAACCCGATTACGTACTAAATACGTAGTAGCCAATTACAGTAACATCCCTTTATATATACGTATAATATATATATAATTATACATATGTACGTACCTCTATATTGTGGATGAATATAATATGCTAAAATATAAAGTGGATGTAAAAATTCTTCATATCGTCGATTAAAAATATAAATTACAGGATTCTTAAGTGTGTTTATTTCAGACAAGTATTCAATAGCTACAGCTAATTTAATTAGATAAGCAAAACAGTCGGCTAATGATGCTTCATTAGTTTCTAATGCATAGATTACTTCTTTAATAGGTTGCCAAACAAAACGCACTAATTAATATATAATAAAGAAATCTTCATTAGCTATTAAATTAGCTATTTCTTGATTGGTAATTGCATCATTATGCTTAGTAAGTAACTAAAAATCAAAATTTATATTTATTAATAATGATTAATAATAACAAATATTTAATATTCCTTATATCGTAAGGTATTTGCAGGCAAATTTTTCTGGGCGCAAATCTTCAATAATTTTAGCTAAAGTTACATTGCTAATATAATATGCAATTTGAATCAAAAAATGATTGGCTAAATATACAAATTATACGAATTCTAGAAAATCCCAAAAGATAAATATAGCTAAGAAAATTATATGTTCAAAATAATATTTACAGGAAGTTTTTTGAATATGCAGTTTGGTCTTTATATAACACCAAGTACCCTTATATTATAATTTATGTGAGATCTGCCAAAAGAAGTGCATTTGTTCATGAAGTGCAGGCAAATTTGCCTATAAAATGGTGTAAGGAACAGATAAATATAATTATATTTACCCAATTAAATACGGGCCTTGCACGAAGCATTAAATCTGTGGTATAATATAAAGATCCCCAACGAGTTTTTACCCATGCTTTTAGTCCACCACCTTTAATTTTTATATCTGTAAATCCTTTAGTAAGCAATGAATGACTTGAATAAGAAGAGTTAAAAAAATTATTAATTTTTCCGCAATTAGCTATTAGTCTTTTTAATTAGTCTAATTTGACCAAATCAGTAGCAATAAGGTTGATTGCATGTGCTACACAGCGCACATTCCAAATATGCGGATATATAGCTTGTGTTTTTTGACGTGCTAAGTTATAATTTGATGCTGCATCTGTTACAATGGTCGCGAACTTATCTGAGCCAAGTCTTTCAATAATATTAGATATTTCATTTGCTAAAAATTTACCCATTTGAGAATATGAAGAATAGTTTTTTAAATTGATGAGATATTCTTTTCGTGTATCTGTTGTAATAACATAGTTATAAATTGATTCCATTGTTGACGATGTCTAGCCGTCTAAAGCTTTATTAAACAAAAATAAATTAATTAATAAATTAAATTAAATTACTTTAATCATATGTAATAATATATTAAAATAATATCAAATGCATATTATTTCAATCATCTATTTATTAATCATTAATTATATACACATAATTTCAGTATATACTGTACTTTACAATAAATAATCTTTGTATATGATATAAAGTACCCTATGGCGCAGGCTATAGTACCTCGAATACGATACACTCTATAAAAAATATCCTTGTACTCTGGTACTACACTTGGAAATTTTTCATATGAAAAAAAAATTTTATATAAGATAATCCTGAGTATTTTGTATTTAACCAAGATATAGGAGGGTACTATAGTTCATGCTATACATTAAATTTAAAATTTAAGTTCAATAAGATCACTTGCGCCTTGCGCAAACTATCAATGTGTGAAATATATTCTAGGTTACTTTATATAATATCTATATAAAGATATACTAACCTAAGGTTAAATAATCAGCCTTATCTATTTCTTTATCAATTGTACAATTAATTTGTGCTATTTTCTTATCCAGTAATCAGTTTGATAAAGTTATTCTTAATAGAGGATTATATGTGAGTAAAAGCTCTTTAAACGTATCTTTAATGAACAGATTTTCAATAACTTCAAAAGGAATTCCAGCCATTACCCAAGCTTTAAGTATTTTTTGGTCAAGTCGATTAACTGTAGCATTTGGTAATGGACGATTAGATGAAAAATGAGATGTTATTGCGGTTTGGTTTTGTAAGATTTTTTGTCTTCGTGTATAATTAGAATTTCTCTCCACTACTTTTTTTCTCCAATATCGTGATATATTGTCAGGGCAATTAGGACATTCATTTGCTAGATATGCTTCTAGCTTTGCCAGTTTTCCTCTTGCCTAGGATTTTTTAGGATTACAATAATAACAAGTAGCTTCATAATGCCCATGACTTTTTTCTGTGTCTTTAATATAATAATCCCATATTTCAGCAAATGGTCTATGTTTTTTATTTTTAGGTAAAGGTTGAATATTAGAACTATTTGTTCTTCTGATTCTGAATGGTCTTCTATTTCTTCAACTAACTCTCTATTTCTTTTTTGTAAATTTATTTCGTTCATCCCCATAGCTAAAAATTTGATACCACTATTGAAAATAAATGACAATAACTGTAGTTATAAATTATATATACAAGCAGATCTCTTTAATTATTGGTTTTCGTGTGCAAATTTGTCTACTAAGGAATCCTATATTAGTATGATATATAAGAATTGCCAAGTTTAAACCTGAAAATAGATAACAATATAAATTATAGATACAAGCAAATTTCTTTAATTATTGGTTTATGCGTGCAAATTTGTTCACAAGATATTTAATGAATTCTATATTAGTACGATATATAAAAACTGCCAAGTTTAAACCTGAAAATAAATACAAGCAGATATTGGTTTTCGCATGCAAATTTGTCTGCAAGATGTTTAAAAATACGATATATAAAGATTGCCAAGTTTAAACCTGTAAAAAATTTTTAAGTTTGATTATTTCCGACTTAATCCTAGAAGAATTAAATTATAACTCAATCACTATTCTGATTATTTTAATATAGTATGTGTTACTTTATAGTATAGATACATATTCATATATATATACTTTTCTATAATCTGTTCAGGAATTAATCTGACACTAGAGCTCGACAAAATCAAGAAAAAACTTGATGTCAAATACCCGATAGACCAAATATCAATGATTTTAAACAACATACATATTGATATTGTATTTAGTTTTATCAGTATTTGAGATCAAGTTTTTTTTTGATTGTGTTGAGCTCTATCCGATATCGATAAGATAAAAACTAAAAATTTGCACATTTTAATTTTGCAACACATAAATATCACATTTACTATCACTTAAGTTTTAATTCTGGCCAATCAATAAGATAAGGTGTAATGGTAATGGGAATTAGAAAACACAATCGCTTTATTTTTGAAAAATTAATTTGGTACATAGTGTTACCAAGATGTCACTGGAATTAGAATATTTCTGTATTCTTATCAATTTATGCAGGGATGTCGAGTTTGGACCAGGTCAGAATCAGGCTTCTTAAAAATTAGTTCAGAACTGTTCAAACCAGCGCTAGTCCAACAAAAAAATCGAATGTTGATTTTTGTTTTAGATGTCATGGTAATTAGGTGTAATTAGGTTAAAGTGATCTAATTTGAGTTTAAATATATAATTTATCATTGATGAAGGCCACTCAAGTATTACTTTGCATTCTTTACATGAATTCCATCTGATCCAAAAAATGGCGGTTATTTTTAATGCTAGAATCTTTGAAAACAAATAATTGATACCTTGATATAAATGATAAATACAGCCCATCTTTATTAACATTTAACCAAACCATAATGAATATCACAATTTCATTTTTTGTACATTCAAATTCAAGGGCTTGGCTTAAATCAGTTTAGCATGCTTTTAAGTGTATTAATTCTATAAATAACGTCATTACATGAGTATCAGAAAAAACTTTTTAAAACCCAGATCAAAACCAGTTTCTAACATTATTATTTTGAGCATGTTATGCAACATATTGTCTTATTTATCATATGATGTATGGCATTTATGCGGCTTACGGCATTTATGCGACATACGGTACTTATGCAGCATACGGAATTTATACGACATACGGCACTTATGCGGCATATGGAACTTATACGACATATGGCACTTATATAATATATGACATATATATAGCATACGGCATATTTATTTATAAGGCAAATATGCCGTATTGCCATTATATTTTTAGAAAGGTAGTTACCTTGAAATTTTTAAATGTTTATATCTCTACTTATGATACCTGCTTTTAGTTCTGGAATGTCCCAGGATTTCTTGTCGAATCTCCATTGAGGACTCCTGGTATGTAGTAATTTGAGACTAAATTCAGACTCTACTAGAAGATGATCAGAGTTGCCAAACCGTGTGAGAGT